CCTAGGACCCGCAATGATGCAGCTCGTGTCAGAGAACCAATCCACCCTACAGGCACTCGTACAAGCCTTGAAACAAGAGCTAGCACCAACAGACGCAAGCACGAAGAATCTCGTACGAGCAGAGTACAGAGCTCACCTCACCAAGGCAAAGCATGGCACCATGACCCCGGAAGCTTGGTACCAGCAGTGGCACTTCCTGTACACCAAGGCAAGGACCTACAAGATTCTCGACGTAGAAGGCCAGCTCGCCGCACAAGACTTCCTAGACGCCCTAGCTCCAAAGCTCGCACCAGACTGGGCGCGCTCTATGCACCAGAGGGTCATAGAGGCCAGCGCACTCGGCAAGGAACCTCCAACGATCCAGGAAATCGGCAAGATCTTCTCAACAATGCTCCAGGAGCACACTCCCTGCGCGCGAGCAACCGAGGCACAGGTATATTTGCGACGCTTAGCAGACGATCAGACAACAATTCGGCCCGATCTGTTTCAGCCCGATCAGGCCACCCGTGCCCATGCAGAGCTCCAGGGCAATCCCTTCATCCATAGAAAGCAGCAGACTGCAGAGACCTCACGTCAGCAGTCACTAGAAAGCCAAAGAAGCTCAGTGAAACCGCACGCCAGAAGATCCTTAAGAGGCTTAAGTGGGCGCAGCACAAGGAAGTAAAGGCTGTACTGCTCAAAAGAGGCTACGTGATTCCGGACGCAGCCTCCCCTGCTCCGAAAGCTATTAAAGGATCAGACAAGCCAGCATTCCCAGGAAGCATTGTCGCCGCACTCATCGACCCGGCGCTCCTAGTAAAACCAGGGATGCACGCGACTATGGATTTTGACGCTCACCCACTCTCTATGAGCACAATTCTGGACAATGGGAGTGCCACGCACTTGGTAAACAGTATAGAGCTGCTCGTACCTGGGTCATTCAGGAAAGCTCAAGGTTTACACACAGTGGAAGCTGGCACCCAGTCGTTCCCGATCCAGGGAACAGGAACTAGAAAGCTCAGAGGGGTGTTGAACAGAGCACAGGGAGAGCGCACGGAAGATCTCACGCTACAGGAGGTGGTTGTGGTGGAAGGATTTCACGTCAATATTATCTCGGAAGCTCGTTTGAGAGAAAAAGGACTATGGTATTTAGGACTTGACTGTACACTGCGCATAGGCACGCTGGAAAAGAATAGGGTACTTGCAACGCTCCGCCGAGAACACAACCTTACGTTCGTCGAATATAAAGCTGTCTCTTTCTACCCACTAGTGCAGAGTGTGCTCCCGGATCGCCGACGCTCATGGACCACATTCCCACGCTCAGACTCAGAAGAGCTCTGGCATGCGCGCGCAGGACACCTAGGCCCCAAAGCTCTGCGGGCTCTGGTCAAAAGCGCGAGGAACGTACGAATAACGGGTACAGAGCGAGTACGCTGTGAGCACTGCGCAACAACACACGCCAAGCAGGTCATATCGAGAAGACCAAAAGAGCGAGCTCCCCGCCCATTCTGGAGAATCGCATGGGACATGTTCGATATGCCATTAGGGCGCAGCGGAGCTCTATGGATGATGATCGTCAAGGACGAATACAGCGGCAAAATCTTTTCGTACTCTCTCCAGGCGAAAACGCTCTCAGAAATCCAGAGAGTAATGGAGAACTTCAAGAGCATAGTGTCCAATCAATACAAGCTCCAGATCAGCAAAATACAGCAAGACAACAACGCTGCCACGCTCCCTTAGCATAGGAAGTCAAGGTATGAGCTCTGGGCAGAGGAGTCCAGCATTAATATTAAGAGCTCTCCACCATACACTCATAAGCCAAATAGAGCCGCAGAAAGAGCTAGACAAGAGATAATCACAAAGTCTATCAAGATAAGGAGCAGCGCAGGACTCCCCAAGAAGCTCTGGCCGGAAGTAGTAGACGCAGCGACATGGCTGTACAATATGAGCCCGTCGCACGCACACAACCTACGCTCACCAAATGAAGTCTTGGACGCGTGGTTCACCAACTACTTCAGATACTACAAGCCAGAGCAGGTAAGGAGTGCTACGGCTGATCTAAGACCCGATTAGAGCGGGATCTACGCATACGGCTGTCGCGCCTACCCACTCAACAGGGAGCGAGCAGCCGGGCGTCAGAAGCGAAGCTTCAAAGTAACTCCACAGGGCCACATAGAATATCTTGTGGGCTACAGAGCCTCGAATATCTACAGAATATAGGTCCCGTCGCTCGACCAGGTGATCACCACAAGAAACGTAGCTTTTGATAAGACACGCTTCCACAAGGACAGGGGTGACAAGCCAATCCCCCGGGAAGAAGCCTCTAAGATCGTCGAAATTCTCAACGAGCAGGGTGAGATCCGTGATGCAGGAGAAGCCTTCAAGCTTCTACCTCAAAGGTCAGATAAGCAGCAGAGTAATATACCGAATCAGAGGCCCCAAGAGCGCGAGCTCGGGGGTGCGGAAACCAAAGAGCTTGTTGGAACTCGGGTCGGCCAGCCAGAGGATCAGCACTCGGAGGTGGAAGCAACTGCGCGGGTGACGAGCACAGCAAGCAAGTCGCCAAGGATTCGCGCGGTTCCTGATGAACGTATAGCACTCATTACCCCAGAGCCGACTCCCGAGCCAGAGCTCGCGGATAGCTCTACGACACGCCCTATACAGGGTAGGCACGAGCATACTGGTGATCCCCGGCAAGTGCACTTAACCGGAGAAGCGGATCCACCGGGCTCGTTGAGTCAAATAGCCGACTCGCCGGTCGAAAAATCGACCCCTGCCTCTCGCGCTAGGACATCGTCTTCTGTGGCTCCAGTCAAAGCAGGTGAGGCAACCCCCAAACGTGCGTACAACAAAAAGAGCTGGGGACCAGCCACACGCATAAGCCGAAGAATACGGAGGCAAGATCCTGATGACCCGGGTGAGCCTAGGGGTGCAGGAAGCGGAGGTATATATACAACGCTCTCAGAGAGGAGCAGCATACGCCTAGCTCCAGTTAATCCAGAGCACCTCCAAATAAACTTCCTTAGAGCATTTATTGCTCACAACAACAGAGCGCTCAAAACGCTCCACGCAGTGTTTTCCGCAGCTGCCTTCTTCAGGCAGCCTCAACCAAGAGCTCATGTGCTCCCAAAGGAACCCTCAAAATAGAGAGATCTACACAAACACCCATACAGAGATCTTTTCAAGATCGCAGCACAGAAAGAGATAGCTACCCTGCTTAAGAAAGGCACTTAGAAAGAGATCATGCAATCTAAAGCAACGTCTAAGCCGCTCCCACTGAAGTGGGTATTCACGTACAAATTTGACCAGGATAGGTATTTTGCTAAATGCAAAGCTCGCATTTGCGTACGCGGTGATCTCCAGAGCAAGGACTCGCTCCAGTCAACCTATGCTGCCACTCTCGCAGCCAGATCCTTCCGAACGGCAATAGCGATAGCAGCTCAATTTGACCTAGAGATCAGGCAATACGATGTCATAGGCGCGTTCCTGAACGCGCACCGCGAAGGCAAGCCAGAAGTGACATGCGAGCTCCCAGAAGGCTTCACGAAGCCTGGCATGTGCGTCAAGCTTCTCCAAGCCCTATACGGACTGCGCGACTCGCCGATCTTGTGGTACCAGGAGCTCTCGCAGTCTCTTCAGAAGCTCAACCTCATCTCATCCAAAGAGGAGCCGTGCCTATTCTTTGACCGCAATCGCCGTATCTTGCTTCTCTTCTATGTAGACGACATACTCCACATCTATCACCGCGACGATGAGTTAGAAGCTCACCGATTGATCAGTGCGATCAAGGAAATGTACGAGCTAGAAGATCAAGGGCCGTGCGAATGGTTTCTAGGGATCAAAATGATCAGGAACAGAAAGGCTAGGACGATCCAGCTAGTACACGACGCGTATATTAAGAAAGTAGCGAAGAAGTTCAACCTTGCAGAGAGCGCGCTCTTCCCAGGAACTCCCCTACCGTCGGAAGAGCTCACGAGCAACCAGGGATCAGCAACGAAGCATGAAATCAAGGAATACCAAGAGCGCGTGGGATCAACACTCTACACCGCGATCATGGTGCGCCCTGACGTGGCGTTCGCGGCATCTCAGCTCTCCCACTACCTGACAAACCCAGGAAAGCAGCACTTCCAGGCAGTGAACCGGGCGATCGTGTACCTGTACCGCACAAGGCATACAGGCATACAGTATGGAGCACTGGAAGGCGCGCAACTCATCATGTGTGGAGACGCGTCTTTTGCCGATCACGCAGAGACCAGACGATCATCCCATGGATACATTATCTCGCTCTTTGGAGGACCGATCCTATGGAAAGCAGCTCTCCAGCCGACAGTAACTACGTCTACAACGGAAGCTGAGCTGCTAGCTCTAGCGCACATTACAAAGGAATCGCTAGCTCTGAAACGCTTCTTCAAAGAGCTTACCCTAGAGCTAGGCACACCGTGGCAGATCTACTGTGACAACCAGCAGACAATCAGGTTAGTAGTAGAGGAGAACGCCCAGATAACCACCTGCCTGCGCCACGTCGATATTCAGAACATGTGGCTGCGCCAGGAGCACGCGAAGGGATCTTTCAAAGTGCGCTATATCAAAACAAGCGACATGCTAGCAGATGGACTTACAAAGCACCTGCCAAGGCAGCAATTCAAGCACTTTAAGCAGCTTCTCAACCTTAAAGACACGCGAACGAGCTTCTAAGGGGAGAAATCGTTGATCATTAATGGCGGGGACATCCCCACACCGCCTAGGAACAAGAGGGCTATCTACCAGCAGGGACACCCCCCCATGCCATGGAGTTTGAGCAGGGATTTGGTACATGAGATGCGCGGAAACACAGAACGCCTAAACCATGAGGAGATCGACGAGCTCACCCAAGAGCTCCTTAGCGCGCTGGCGACGCGCCAGGAGCCCAGGGGACACGTCACCCTGCTCCTCCTCCCCCTCCTCCTCCTCCACCTCCTCTTCCTCTTCCTCTTCCTCCTCCTCCTCCTCCTCCTCTCCCTCCTCCTCCTCCACCACATCCTCTTTAAGCAGAGCTTAAAGAACTAGCTAAAGCTAGGACGCAGCCTATAGCCTGTTAGTCTGATCTAGGGTATGACACACGATCTCTGCAGAGAAGCTTACCCGCTCGTCCTCCGCGACGAGCGCCGCAACAAGGCGCCGCGCATACACGACGGCGACGGGGGGACTGCAAATAGGTCAAAAGCTAGATCACCCCACACACTGCTACGGGGCTTACAGGGGCAGGCAGCTGTGCCCGGAGGAACAGCGCCAGCAGCGCGAACCGCCAGTGGCGGAATCATGGCACTCCCCACTGGAGCGCCCCGCGAGCGCACTCTTTATGCAGCCCAGACAGGACTGCACGCGGAGCGCACCAGGGGGAGGCCGGCGGGGAGTCGAGGCCGGGCCGGGGAGCGGGCGCCGGCGGGGGGTGGTGGGCGCAGGGCGATGGGGGGTGGTGGGCGCGGGCTTGCGGGTACGCGCAGGCCGGCGGGGGGGTGTGGGCGCAGCGCGGCGGGGGGTAGTGGGCGCGGGCTTGCGGGCAGCGCGGCCCCGCAGAGCGGCGGCACGCGATCGGGCGGCTCTTTTGGCTTTATTGAGCTACGGATGCACGTTAGCGGAGATCGCAGACAGGTTTGAAGTCGTTCTTGGAGCTCAAAAGCATTAACTTACACGCGGCATGTTGGTTGGATCTAAAGAACAGGAGCTCAAGGAGCAGGAGAATTTATTTACCTCTGTTGCGGCGATCACGGCACGCACGTGACCTGCGCTGCCTAGGGAAACGAGCATCGCGCTGCCTGGGGCAACGAGCACAAACACAGGGTAAACGCACAACGCTGCTCCAACAAGCCAAGTTGACGCTCAACGCAGGTGAGCTGCTGCGCAGCTCACCTGGGGGGTGTGTCGCGTATACTGAGAGCCTTGGCTGGGGCTCAGAGCCTGGGACTGGGGCTCGGAGCCTGGGACTGGGGGCTCAGAGCCTGGGACGCAGCTCGGGATCTGGAGATATTATGTTCCGAAGCTCGGTGTATATAAGGAGAGCCTTCGGCTCTCTTAGATAGCAGAGTCACTTCATCCGATCTTCTGAACAGCTACTGCCAGGCTATTTTATCCTCCACACTTTATATTCTATTTCTTTATCTTCCTATTCTTATATAGATAAGGGGATCTCTTTAGGTGCCTTTTCTAATTTAGAGATATAGAACTATAGGTGTATCTTTATGTGTAGGGGAAGCTCAAGTTTATAATTATCTTGTTAAGTCTAGAGGACCTTATATAGTCCTATTTTTTTCTCTACTAGCTTCTTTAAAAGTTGTAATATCTTAAGGTTTTAGGTATTAAGGTATACGTAGTCTCCTAGATAGATCTCTAGTCCTAGTTATTATAATTTGTTTACGTATTTTTTATAGTTGCTCTACTAAAGCTAGCTTCTATTACTAATTTCTTATATATACATTATAGGTCTGTTAATTAGTCTATTAACTCTTACAGGTCTGTAGGCTAGTTTCCTTATAGTATAAAGTAAAAGTTATATCTAAAATTAGCTTTATATAGCGTTTCTTTTATTATAGCTAATTTTATGTTGTTAATAGCTAATTATGCTATTAGAAGCTATTCTGCCTAGTTATACTAGGTGTAGAAAATGTACTTTTTTAGGTATCTTTTTACTTCTGCATTTACTCTCTTAGTTTAGCTGTCTGTCTACAGGTAGTAGGCTGTTAATAGCTTATGTGTTATACTAAGGTGCTGCATTACTACCTTCTAGAATCTGCTAGTAAATAGCTTATTTTAGTTAAAGATAATAATTTTAGGGCATTTATATACTAATATTATATTTTATTCTAGTTTATAGATAAATTTTTTAGCTGTTATTATTTTTTCTAAAGGCTAAGTATGTAGGTACTTTGTAGTTTTATTAAAAGCTACTGTAATTATATTACACATTCTTTCTGTTTCTAGTTCTTTAGATAGGGGTAATTTTATAATAAAGTCTATTATAATTATTATTTATAGTAGTTTTAGCGCCTTTATTAGTTAAAAGTGTCTGTAGGTCTTATGCCTTTGTAGGTTATTCTTATTGCAGGTGTTATATTCTCTAAGTACCTTAGTACACAGTTGCTTTACTTTTAGTATTTATCTTAGTATAGCAGCCCTTAGCTTCTTTTAAAGGGTGCCTATTCTAGGGTGTTTAAACATTAGAGATTTGTAATATTTCTTAATTAGATTCTTTTATCTTTATTTATTTACTATAAGCATGCAGAGTTCCTTTATAAGTTAGGGCCTATTATAGATCTATCCTTTATTAGTTTCTTTAAAGAGAGTAAATTTCTTAGTTCTTTCCTTTTCTTTATTAAAGTAGTCTAGTCTCTAGCTAAGAGCGTTAGCCTGCTAATTCTGTGCTTCTAGAACGTGCTTAATAATATAGTTAAATTGTGTAAGCTCTATTACCTATTTTACATGCATTAGTAACAGTTTCTTTACTGTTAAAAATGTAACTAAATTTACATAGTTTATTATAATATAGAAGGGTTTTGCTATTTTATGTAGTTCTGTGGCCTATACTCTTACAGCATTTAATATTACTTTTAGCTCTTTGTTAGGTATGCTGTAACCTGCTTTAAGTCCTAAGAACTTAGCAGAATAGTACGCTACTAGGTGCTATTTTCTATCTTCTTGTTTCTAATAAAACGCAGCCCTACTAGCTCCTAAAGATGCGTCTGTGTGGATCTTAGTATCTAACTGTAGGTTGTACATCCTTAGCACTAGTTTAGCTGTTATAGCTTATTTTAGTGTTATAAATGCTTTATTTATTTATAAAGTCTAGACAAATTTTGCTATTACTTATTCCTTAGTAGTAGCGTTTGTTAATAGTATAGTAATCTTTAAGTAGTTTTTAATTATTTGTCTAACATAACTTAATAGTCCTAGGAATTCTTTTACTTCCTTAACTATTATAAGTTCTAGCTACTTAAGTACTTTCTACACTTTAGCTAGGTTAATTTTTATTTTTTTACTATTAATTATAAATCCTAAATATTCTATTTTAGTAACATAGAATTTACATTTAGAGAGCTGCAGGTAGAGTCTATACTTCTTAAGCTGTTCTAGGATTTTTTGTACCTTCTATACATAGTCTTCTAGAGTATCTTTTAAGTAGATAAGGACGTTATCTAGGTATACTAGGGCAAAGACATTAAGGTATAGATTAAGGGCTGTGTTAATAATTTACTAGAATGTTGCTAGGGCGTTTATTAAGCTAAACAGCATTACTAGTAGCTTATAAAGCCCCTACAGGGTTCTAAACACTATAAGCTACTTATCTCTCTCTCTTATCCTAATTTTGTTAAATCTGTCTTATATGTTAAACTTTATAAAGTACTAGGTTTCCTTTAACTAGTTTATAATATCTTATATAATAAGTAGAGGAAATTAGTCTTAAATTATGTTGTTGTTTAAAGTCCTGTAGTTCTAATAAACTTAGATTTTTTCTTCTTTCTTTTTTACAAAGACTACTGCTAAGGCTACTAGGCTATAACTTTCTTAGATATAGCTTTAAGCTAATATTTAGTTAACATACTCTTATAAGGCTTCTTTCTATGCCCTTGTTAGAGGGCAAAGCTTATAGGTCTTTAGATTATAGTTTTTTATTAGGTTAATAGCATAATTCTAAGGCTAATGTAGTAGCAGTTCTTTTAGGTCTTCTAGTGTTTTAAACATGTCCTTGTAATCTTTACACTTAAAAGGAATGCTGCCCTTATCTTAGATCTAGAAGATGCTAGTCTATTCTACATTATTATTAATCTTAATTTCTTTGTAGGAGACTTTTTTAAGTTCTTTCTTTATTATTTTTACTACCTAAGCTTTTAGCTCCTAGTAAGAGAATCTCTAAGGTTTTCTTTTCTTAGGGAAATAACTGCTACCCTGTTTTACTTATTTATAGACTAGGCATAAGTTATTATAGTATGCTAACTAGGTTATGTGTGCGTAGTTGTTAGAGGTTTCTATAGTTATTATCCTCTAGTTAATTGCAAGGTTATGCGCTTTAAGCTAGTTATAGCCTAGAATTACATTATACTTGCCTTCTAATAAGAGTATGTTTATAAATCTCTAGTCTTTTATGCTTAGAGTCTTAAAGTTTTTTTTATATATTTCTAGGTTAATCTATCTTTTACTATACTTAATTAAAGATGTGTTAGTAAGGGTTACTGTTACAATCCTTGCTTCGGGAAGCACTCGGGTCTTTTGATATTCCTAGGGGGGAGGTAGGACGAATAGTAGGGGCCAATCCGGTAGGGTGTACAGTCCTACGTACAGGCTATTAGGCTAATGGAGGAGAGGAGGGTGACTAGATTGTGGTTTGCCCTATGTGCGGCAGTAGGGAGGCTAGGGTTAAACAGTCCTTTTAGACAAGGTTAGAGGTATATATAGTGTAAGATATACAAATAGTATTACAGCTCTTTAGAAAGCTAAATGCTACTTAGTCTATGTAATAAATAAACTAAACATTAAACACACCCTTTAAAGGTTGTTTAGTGTAGGATCTATATACATGTGCTAGAGGTGCTAAGAGAGTAAGAGAAGTCTATAAGAGTCTGCTAAGAAGAGCTTCTTAAGCTCCCTTAAGCTTTCTTAGGCTTCTAGAACTTGTGGCTAGTTTCCTTATTAAACAGTGCATTCTTCTATAATCTTAGGTAGCCGCGCCGCCTCTGCGTTCCCTAATTAGTCTGTAAGCAAACCCTGCCCTAAACCAGCTAGGTTGTGGAGCACCACTAGTAGGGTTACGCTGGTCTAGCCATAGACTGTAACACGCTGCCCCCTCTCCCTAGCAGCGTCCTTACTGCTCTGCTTATACATCTGTGTTAGTAAAAGTTTATTTATAAGGTGCGCGTCTACCTGCTAAAAGGCCTTTTTAACATCTATTTATTTTATACTAAATAGCTTGTTAGTCTTGTTTATTTTACTATCTCTATGTTACTTATTATTTTAATCCTCTTTACTAAATAAAAATAAGGCCCTATAGTGCTTACTAATCCTTAGAGTTGTCTTATATATTAACTTTATCCTTAGACAAGTGCGTTAAATGTGTAAAAAAATATAGTAAATGCAACACCTTTATTTTTAATGCTGTGTAGAATTATTTAAAGAAAAAAAAAAACACTTCTTTAAGAAGTAGTTATTATAAAGGCTTAAAAGCAGGAACTTAATAACTAAATGTTATGTTAGGTCTAGAAGACTTTAAAAGTAAAGGCTAAAAAGTGTTCTAAGTAGGATTATATCTAGAAATTACTAGATTTGCTAAAAGCTTATTGTGTAAAGTACTTAAAAAAGGATCTATCCTTCTTAGACAAGATAGAAGCTTTTAAGGCTAAAGTAAAGGGCTATTCTCTCTCTTAACTGTTGTTAGCTAGGACTTGTCTTTAAAAGCTACTGCTATTTAGTAATAACATAGCTATTTTTTTTAATATAGGTGCTTTATTACCTAGCTAGTTTCTTTTAAATAAGCTTAAAGGTACCTCTATACTAACAGCTGCGCGTTCCTTAAATTCTTAGCTAGTTTTTATATGTTTTTACTAGTAAGCTACTCTTTCTATTTTACTTAAAATTTCTTTTAGTTTTTTTAATTACTAATAATATGTTTAACTTTATATTCTATTTCTTTATCTTCTTATCTTTAAGTAGAT